TTCGCACGATGCAGAATTCTACAGTTAATACCAGACGACGGGGTCGTAAACGTGGAGTGCCTACTGCACCCCAAACAACAGAGCCAGTGTTGCCGGCCACGAGGAGAAAATCAAGTCGTCGAGGCCGTGGTAGGGGTCGCCATCGATCTCTTTCTTTACCAAATAACGCCTTGGGCGATGTCAACGAACTATCGAGATCGCGAACGTTTGATGCCTCAAACCCTAACAATTGGACGGCGGCTGAAGTCCGACAGAAACTTTTGGAAATGGGCATAACGGTACCACAGTCCATGAATAAGAAAGAGGCGATTCAACTATACAAATTGAACTGCCAAGGCCGTGTTTCGACGGTTTGGCGTAGCTTTGCACGAATTACCTAGAATCGTGCCAGTTTCAGATTCCTTGAAAACCAGTATACTTCAAGGTAAATATGTTAATTTGGCTACCTTACTGATACCAGCTCATGACAGTTCAGAGAGTCGCACTATTATTGATGCAACAGGTAACGAGATTAAACTGAAGGGAAATCCTGACCCTCGACTAAACAAAGTTCTCACTCACAATGAATTCTTGGTGGCGTTCGGCAAATATCAATAAATTATATGCGAAGCGTTTCCACATCGTCGTGAAGAACTTGTTTGTTACCAAGCTCTTATTACCAACATGGCCGTCAATTTTGGGGGTAGCTTGTTTTATGATTATCATGTGGAATTCGCAAACCAAGCTGCAGCATGGCAAGCACAGCGTAATATTAAAGTGGATTGGTCGATTAGAGATTCTGAAATTTATATGAATCTTACGTCCGGACGTCGATGTAATACTTGTACAGTCTGTGGCAGTACTGGGCACTTGGTTGATTTTTGTCCCCGTAAACAGTTCACTACCCAGTTTCTACAACGTGGGGATTCCAGCAATGACAGTCGCGGTCGTCCTAAAGTTTTCTGGAATGGTAGAGAGATTTGCAACAATTTCAATTTGGCTTATAAGGGTTGCACCAGGAATCCATGTCCTTTTATTCATGTGTGCACTTCATGCAAAGCCAACCATCCTGTTAATACTTGCTCAAAGTCTATCGCAAAAAGTAAGGGATCTTCTGCTGCTCCTGGTAATGTCAACGCTACCCAGTGACTACCAAAGTCAGCCACCACACCAATCAATGTTGATATATAGTATGTATTTATTTTCATCCTCATGTATATTAACCTACCATACTTGTAGCTATG